TTCTGTAGGCAGACTTGGTGCTTCTTTCCCCACGTTAGAAAATATCACTTCCTCCTTGTCTCTGTGTCCCACCTAGAAGGCGGTGTGTGCCAGGAGTGTGTGTGCACGAAGATGGCCTTCGTGGTGCTTCCAGGCCCTGGGGAAAGGCAACGGGGAGAGAAGTCAAAGAGAAATCAGGACGGCCACTGCCCTGACCTGTGCTTCTTGGGGAGCCTGGGCCTGGGAGTGACAAGACCTTGGTTCCTGTCCCAGAGCTGCTGCTGAATGGCCGCTGTTGCAGATATGCCTCCTAGCCTTCTGTTCCTCCGTGTCCTCTCCTGTAAAACGGGACAGCCGTGCCTTCCCTGCCCACGTGCCAAGGACGTCAATGGGATAACATGAGATGAGTGAGATGTGTGTACAGTGGAAAAAACACGGTGCAAATGTATTTTTACTATATTATGGTTACAGTTTGCTATGTACAAAGATTATTATATCTCTCCAGAAGATATAATAATTATGAGAACTTGTATTTACAGGCTAATTTGCTGTTAATAAGGACACATGGATTTTCCCCCATGTATCCTCTCTCTTGTGGAAGCGACACAGCTTCAATGAGAAAATAGGCTAGCTTAGAAAGGGCTCCCTAGTTAGACCCTAGAAGGGGGTCGATGATGAGCTTTCCTAAGGGTCACCAAACTCTCTGAAATTGTGTGCAGAATTACATAGGTGTGTTTTTCACAGCTCATTACAGATTGCTACAGGCGTTCGTAGTTTAAGAGTGGTTAGCAGTCCCACAAAAAGGAGCCGGGCTGGCTCCAAGGCTTCTAGAAGGACTGAACTGGTCCTAGTCTCTCCCCAAGTCCCAGATGGGGTCTGATGACTACCGATCTAATTTTTTAACCTAGTTTGTCTGGAGAAAATGGTAAAAAGAAATGCAGGAAGGGTCTAGAAGGGGTCCATAGAGTCTGGAAACCAAAGATGAAACCCTTAGGCAGTATAACTCCAGCAACCACAGCTCAGCAAATAGGTCCAAAAACAATTTCATCTTGAAAAACTTTTTGTCATGCCACAGTGGTCTTCTTTCTTGTCCTCAAATGTGCCAGGGGGGCTCCTACCTTGGGGCCTTCTGCAGGGGGATTTACCCGGAGTGTTCTTGCCCTGGCTCTTCCCTGGGCTGGCTCCTTCTTATCATTCGGGTCTCAGTTCAAATGCATGTCTTCAGACAATGCCCCAGCCTGAATCATCTTGCAAGAGCACTTAGCACCATGGGAAATCATCTTTTTTATTTGCTTCCCAGTTTGTTTTCTGCGCCGCTATCACTCATGCCCAGCAGAATGCAAGCAGCCTTTGTACCACGTGTTATTCCCAGGTTCTATGACAGTATCTAACACAAGGTAAGCATGCAACACATGCTTACTGAATGAATATGTGCGTAGAAGAGAAACTGTGTTCTGGTCCAAAAGTGCTGTGTCAGCATCTTTGATTTTTTTTTCTCTCTTGGTGCAATGTCAAAGTCATCAGGTGCCACCTGTGTGTTGTTGACATAAGAAATGTCCAAACCTACAGAGAATTTTAATAAAAGTTTAAACAAAAACTGATGATAAATGCCAAGAAGCAAGATCTTGGATGCTTCGCAGAATGATAGTTTCACAGTTTCTTTTATGCATTGGAAATTAGGGAGAGAACACAAGGAAGATTAGGTAAAATGTGGCAGAAAGCAAGGCAGGAACTGGAATGCAGGAGAGTTAACTCGATTGCGTGCTCTTTTGAGGGTGGTTATGTATTTCAAAGGTCAGTTAAACAAGATGCTCAAGAACAACGGCCAGGACTTGTTTAAGGCAAAAATAAACCTTTTACTAAAGAAGTACATGCCTGGGGCCTGACTACTGAGCATGACCTGCTCAGTTAGGAATTTATGATGAGATCACCTGTGTGTCTATTTCCCATCAGACTTGTCAGTTTTATTACAGAATCCCTTTTTTGTCTACAATGTTCTATCTCTGAGAAATGCCTCACGCCTTTGCATCTCTCCCCTGCTGTTCCGCCCTCTGCCCCACCCACCTCACCCACCCCCACCCAGCAGCACTATCAGCCCTGTATCTGCCTCCCTGCTACCAGACCTTAAAACACAGGTCTCCCTGCATCAGCTCTGCATTCTCCTCCTTCACTTCCAACCCCTCTCCCTCCTCCCCCCACCCCACTCCTGGGACTGCCAAGCCCTACAGGTGTCTTCTTGCCATTCTTCGGACTGAATTGAAGTATCTTCCTAGCAAATGCAGGCTTAGCCAACAGACCTTACCTCTCTCATTAGTGGCCCAAGCACAGAGTGTACGCAGTTCCTCAGGAATCCCTTGAGAAGACGGTAGTGACTACCCATGAGGTGCATAGGGTTTCGAAGGCAGTTGGGTGTATAGGAATATGAGGAGAGGCCAGGGCAATAGCTAGAGAGTTTTCTGAGGGTGACTCAGGAACAAGCTGAAAAGGGCCTCCCACGGAGCAGGCCTGGGGACCCTAGATGGCTTGTGGGGAACCCGCAGGCAAAGATGCTGCGGCTGGCCTGCCACAAACCAGTCAAGTTTGGGGGGGCTGCAATGGACCTACACCCAGGTGGTGAGACTATCCCACCCCTGCCTGTGACACAGCTGTGGGGATCCATCCATGGGCGAGCCTGTGGACTGTATAACCACTTAGGAGGGGAGAAAGAAAAGCCAGTGAACGGGAGATCCTGGCTTTGGTGAGGGTACAAGTACTGACCACGGCCATGATGTGACCCTTCTCTTTCCATCAACAGCTATTGCCAAGAGCTAGCAACCTACTGCTTATACCTCAGAAGAACCTACGTTAGAACTGAGCGGGAAAACCTTACATAGGCTGTGCAGGTAACAATGTTTAAAGACCTTTCTTATGAAAGACAGTATATTTCCTGTGAGTTATGACAATCAAGCATATTTATTTTTGATACCAAATGTCTAAACTCATCTGTCCTTTATAGATCATTTCATCTTGTACTATGTGCCATCTCAGCAGAAAAAAATGCTTTCTCCAAATGTGTCAGTTCTATTTTTGAAAAGGTTCAGCGACCTATTTCTGTAATTCTCGCAGACACTGAAAGAACAGCAGAGTCTATTCAGGCTCAGCTCTGTCACCGAAGAGCTACCCCTGCCAGGTGTTGCCTAGAGAGGCGCCATCTTGCTTTGCAGGGAAGAGGCATAAATAAGTCGGAGGGGAGCACTTTCAGGGTGAGGCCAGGAGAGCATAAACACGCACACAGACACACTTCTCCATTTTTGAACCTTGTCATGATGACTACTGTCCATCTTGGCTAAACTCAACATTAGGAGATGGCTTACTAATCAACCACTTCCTGGACAAAGAACTTGAAAGACACAGTTCACGAAAGGAGAACTAAAGTTTATCAACTGATATATGGAGAAATGGTTGGCTCATCTGGCAATCAAGGAAATGAAGATTAACAATGCCACTTTCTAAAGCTAACCTATGGTGTGGAAGAGTCAGGGTAGTGATCATCCTTGGGTGGGGGGAAGGGGGGAAAGGGGGGCATGACAGGGGTTTTCTGGGGTCTTGGGAATGTTCAGTTTCATGATCTGGGTGCTGGTTACTTACTCTGTGAAAACTCGTATGTGTACTTCTCTAAACATATGATGAACCTCATTATACAGGTTATGTAAGAAAATAAACTTACTGTCTACCTATTATCAAAAAAAATTTTTTTAGTAATAATACTCAGTGCAGTTGAAGCCACCACAAAGCTGAAATTTTTGCATATTGCTAGTCACGGTGTACATTGTATAGCTCTCTTCAGGGAGGAACTTGGCAATATGAATTTAAAAGTCTTAGAAGCATTCACATTTGTTAACTCAATAATTCCACTTCTGAGGCTCTATCTTAAGAAATAGTGCAAAATGTCAAAAAAGGCTTATGTGAACATAGGCATTGCAATAATTTATAACAAAAAAATTATAATAGCAAAACATTGAAAGCAATTTTTAAAATATTTTATTTATTTTATTTTTAAAGCAAGGGGAAGGGAGAAAGAAAGAGAGGGAGAGAAATGTCCATGTGTGAGAGACACATCAATTGGTTGCTTCTAGCATGAGCCCTCACCAGGGACCAGCCTGCAACCCAGGCATGTGCCCTGACTGGGAATTGAACCAGCGACTCTTTGCTCTGCAGGATGCCTCTCAGGGCTGAAAGCAGTTTAAATGTCCCACTGCAGAACCATGTGAAGATAAACCCCACTTTCCAGAGAGTCAATGAGGAACAGATTGCCTGAGTTCCATGTCCAAGGACATGCAGGCAGAAAAGAGGCGGAAGTGCAGGGACTCCACTCCACACTCCATCACACCACCGGGGTACTTCCAACCATGAAAGCGGCGGGAAGAGCATCCTTAGGAGATGATCGTTGGAAAGCTTCAGTGAGGTGTCAGTGATGAGGCCCAAGTCAGAATGCAGGGCATTGGTGAGTCAGCCAGAGGTGAAGACAGGAGACAGGCAGGGGCCATTTTATGAAGCAAAGGGATGTTTGCAATTTCACAAGTGTATTTGTTATTTCCCCCATATAAAAGTGCAATTGCCAGTTAATGCTTTTAAATTTTTTTAAATTTTTTATTTTTTAAAAAAATATTATTTATTTATTTATCTTTAGAGGGAAAGGGAAGGAAAGCGGGAGAGAAATATCAATGTATGGTTGCCTCTCATGCGTTCCCTGCTGGGAACTGGCCTGCAACCCAGGCATGTGCTCTGACTGGGAATCGAACCGCTCAATCCTTTGGTTCGCAGGTCCGCACTCAATCCACTGAGCTATACCAGCCAGGGCTCCTTTTAAAATTTTAATGTCTTTAAAAAATTACCTTAGCTGTTTCTGGGTGGCACGCGGGGCTTGAGGCCAAGAGCTGCCCTTGTGGTCAGCAAGAGGAAGGCTTTGTAAGGAGCCCCATTCTTTATGCTCCAACGTCCCCACCTGACACTGAAGAAGCTGTCCTGGGAGCGCAGTCACAATGGCAGGCGCTCTGGTGGTGGTGTCTTGCTGCCTCGATGCAGGAGGTGAACTTTATGTCACTGCCAAACCGGTGCTGGCTCTGCGACTGATGAGCGTGGGCATCAGAGGCCAGTAGCCTCCTCGGCCTACAGAGTGAATGGACACCGTACAGGGTGGGGCAAAGTAGGTTTACAGTGGTTCGTACTGAAAATACTACAATAATTAATACATAATAATACAAGCATAAACTCTGTGTTCCTTGTACTCAAAACTGTAGAGCTACTTTTGCCCACCCTGTATTATGGAAGGACTCACATCCAGCTTCCTGTTTGTGGTGGGAGGTGTAGGTTTCACAATTCTGCACCAAACCTTCCAGAACTCAGTAGGTTTCCTGAGCTATTCGGTGAATTTGTGTCCTAGTGAGGGTTTTCACTGGCTAGAGTGTTTATGAGAACGAAACTGCCATGCCACCTCAATGGTTAGAGTGCTGTTTGAGAAGAAATCAGTGGCTAACGGCTGCGCCCTTTCATAAAGTTTTAAAGTTCATAGCAAACCTCTAAGGTTGAAGAGCAGATAAGGAAGCCTTTGTGAAATCATAGGAAGCATGTTCAAGCTTGGACTAGAATGTCTTCTTGGTAGCGAAGAGGAAGTTTGTCATAGTGTTTTTTCCTGCTGACACACCAATGATGTAAAGTGGTATTTTCTTAGTTTTTCATTTATTAAAGAAAATACCCTCCATTTCTCCAACTATGACGTTAAAGAAAGTAACTATTTTTTTTTTACAACCCCCTTACCAGTTCTTGGAGATGACGATTCTGGTTTCCAGAAATCAATATGAAGTCAGAGAGCAAAGTCCCACAGGCTGAGAACTCTGGATGGCTGGCTACTTCTACCTGCAGTGTTTGCCCTGAGATAGAGTGTGTCATAGTCCATTACCTCAGATACATGCTTACAATTATTTCCTGAACAGTAAGATATAGGAAAGGAACAGAAATAAATAATTTTTTAGTTAAAAAGATTACCTTTGAACATAGCAATGAAAACCCAAGCCCTGCTCCATTACTTGTCTAACTTCTTTCTTAAGGCAGAACTGGATGTCGCAAACACTGGAGGCCTTCCTCTGTGTTATTCAACATTCCTTTTATGTTTTCTTCGTCCACAGACACTCTTCCAGAGCTATGCTGTATGCAGAGACCCCTGGAAAGGTGAGGAGGAAGGCGGGTGGGTGCTTCATTCCCCCCGAAGACTAGGGCAGCTCTGACTGGAGGCCTGTGCCCTGATCCTCCTTTGCCTAGAATGCTCTTCGCTCAGGTATTTCTGCCCAGCTGACGCCCTCACCTCCCTCTACTCTTGCAGCATCTCAACAAGATCTTCCCTGACTGTCCTGTGATACTGCAGCCTGTCCCTGCCCCCCAGACTGCTGGAGCTCCTCATTTCCCCTTCCCTGCTTTCTTTCGCTCCTTTTTTTTGGTAGAGCAATGGTCAGCTATTGAGCAATACTGCTTATTCCTTATCTTCAGTGTTTACCACATCCCTCCCTGGCCCCCACTACTACAGTGTAAGCTTGTTGAAAGCAGACATCTTTATCTGTTTTGTTTTCTGACCCATCTCAGGTGCCTAGAGCTAGTCTGGGCACTTAGTAGGCTCTTCTTTCACATATTTGGATTTAAAAAAAGAAATATCCCAGAGGCCCGTGACTCCTGTGGCTGTAGCCAATCCTCGGAAGACGGGTGGCCTTTCCATAAGAGAGAAGCAGAGACAGCAGTCGGATAGGGCAGCGACGTGAACAAACGCCGGGAGAGAGGAGCAAGTCAGTCCTTTGGGAGGCAGTAAGTAGGCGAATTTGATGGTGCCTAGAGTGTATGGCATCAATAGAAGTATAAAGACTGTGGATTTTTATTCTTAGACCATGAGAGTGAAGGACTAGGCCAGGGAAGGGTTCTGAGCAGGGAGGAGCCTGTTGATGCCAGTTTTAGGAAGGTTAACCTGGAGATGGGGTGTGCCCTGGGTGACTCTGGACCCTGCCAGATGTTTTCCTCGATCCCCACCCATCATCTTCCTGTTCCTCGTGAGCATTCAGAGCAGTTGGGCTTTCCCGTGCCCGCAGCTCCTCTGTGCTCTCACTGCCAGGCTCAGCCAGACTCAGAACTTGCAGGTGTGCTGCACACCTTTGATTTGGAGGGAGGGGCCTTCAGCTGTGCCTACGCTCCTTTCTCCAGGTGCAGGCAGGGGAGGCCTTGCCATGGCCTCTGGTTAGAAATGGCATGAAAGAAAGGCTCGGAATGCTTCCTCCTGCTTCTCCATCTTCAAATTCATGCCATGGTCCCCAAGAGGGATGAATGGGTGCTTTGAGATTTCCCTAAGCAACACTGAAATTCCAAAGAAAGAAAGGGCACAGAGACCTTTGCCCGCAGCGTGAAGAACGTGGATAGATTTAGCACTGGAGCCTTGTATTACAATTGCTAGGCAAACTCCAAGAGGGGGATCCAGCCCATTAGCGCAGGCGTCTGGAAACTGACTTTTCTGCCATCTCCCCAAACACACGCACACATACACGTGTGCGCACTCTCACATACATGCATTCGTTGGGCCCTGGGAAGATCAAGGCCAACTGCAAAGCACCCATTCCCCAAGACTCCTAATTTATATTGGGAACTAGCTATAAAGCTCCCCCTGGCCCGCGATCTTCCCTTGCAATGATAAAGAGCGTGTCACATCACACTAAACGTGACACTTAATCAAAACCCATCTTCTTTAACAAACCCTTAACCTCCAAGCACATAAGCGTCACCAAGGCCAAGGGACGAGACAGGGAGCCGACTCAGGTGGCACATGCTTTGATTAAGATGATACAGATTTCCTTTCATTTCACTTTCATCAGAGTTGTGAGATTCCAGATCTGTCCCCTTTTTGATTTGATAACAGCACATTTCAGTAGAGGTTGACACCGAAAAGAGACCGGGACTTGTTCTCTCTTCAGCCGGAGTAGGCGATCATTTTTCTGAATCCTCTTCTGTCCAGGTCGGCAGAGCTTCTGATCTTCCGTCAACAAGTTTCACAGGGAACGAACGTGGTTCCGCTGAAGCACAAACCTGGCCGGCATCTGGTTCTTTTCTTAAGTGGTATCTAAATCCCCTTAATCTATAGGCCCCGGGAAAGACCTCCCCTTCTCTGCCTCCTTCTTTGGTTCTTTTTTTCCCTGAGACTTAAATCCTTAAGTGAATTCTTTTGCCAGATTTCTGGGGCAGGAAATGTACTTCCCTGCTACACAGTACTTTAGAAACTTCTGGGGGCTCCAGCAATTGTCCATTTCTATAGCCTGGGCCATCGCTTGCCTCATGAACTATGTGGGATTTTGTTTTAAAATGATTTAGTCACTAGCTAGTTCAATCTGTTCACGATACACTTATCAAATCCCAATTACAGAGGACAAATATTTACGTCTGCTTTCAAGAAACTTTCAGTACGTGGTAGAATGTGACGAGTGGCTCCAAGAATCCCGAAGCACCGACGGTTCATGCGTTCAGCACTCAGCGCCCGCCGTGGGGCAGACCCTGGTCCAGGCACCGGGAAGCAGCTGTGCACGAACGGACGGCATTCCTGCCTGCGAGGCACTTCCACTCTAGCTGGGGCTGGGTGACATTTTCGACTTTTGTGTATTGATTGGGCTTTTAAATGATGCCCACTTTCAAACTTCATGCATTGGCCTTCTTTGCCTTTTGTGGACTGGATTTGGATTTGCACATATACCCACTGGGGAGAAAAACGGCTGAGCTATCACGCACGTGGTGTCACGCCGGTGGGACCCCAGCCCAATTCCTGCAGGGCTGGTGCCCTTCTTATTCACTGAGAAGGAACAGAAATACAAAAAATGTGTAAGACTTGTAGCTCTCTTATAACTGAGACAAAGGTGGCAACCATTTGGAGGGGAAAAATATATAATTAGAGAATCTATTTAAAATGCTGCAGAAATATCAAATATTGAGTCTGACAAAGTATAATTAGGCTTTTTAAAGTTGACTTTTTGTTTCCGGGAAAGTGGTCTTTCTTATAACATGTGGTGGCAATAACAGCTCAGGCGGCCTTTCCCCATCAGGAGGGCTGGGGCTGCCGTGGGCACTCGGGAAGGACGAGGCCTAGCCCAGCACCAGTGAAAGACACCAACTCTCACTCAAGGACTCAGAGGGAAATAGAATAACCAGCATATTTCAAAGCAGAAAGAAAAAAGTGGTTTGGGGGAAAGGCCTGTGTTTCAGCCAGAAGGAAGAAATAAGAAAACAGCGAAGAATCTTCTTCTCAAACCAGGTTTCAGCTCAAGATTTTAGAAGGAGAAGGTAGAGGGTTAGTGCCAAGAAGAGAGTAAGTGCCGGGCCTGTGGGGCCTTTTCTAACTGGAGGCCGCCTCCGCTGCCCCTGAAGACAGCCCGGGTCCTGCCCTGGGCCTCACCAGGGGACCGGCCTGGCATCGTTCCTGGAGCCAAGCCTGTGCCCGAGTCAGTACAGGGTGGGCCGCCACACCAACAGGACAGTGGTGGTGAGGGCGGCGAGAGCAACCGGAAGCTGTGACAACAGGAACTTTTACTTGGTGGTTACTCAGGGGCATGTGGTCTGTGTCCTACTTTCCCTCCGCGGGCCCCTGACCTGCTCAGGCAACGTGGCGTGCGCAGCAGGGGACCACAGCCCCGAAAGCCAGCGAGAGCTGGGACGAGGAAGGCTGCCCTTGCTCCCCTGGGAGGGGAGCTCCTTCCACTGTTTGCCAGGCAGAGCCCCTGAGTGTGGGGCCGCAGCCGCTGGCCAGAGCTTGCCAAGGTCATCTCCACCGGCCCCTCTGCTGTCGCTTCCTTACCGCTGTGTTCTGCAGAGCCGGTCCCACTGGGTACGTCTGATCAGCAGGGTTACGGACCTCAGTACGGAGTCCAGCAACCACCGAGGTGGGGCAAGAGGTGCGTTTGGTTCCTCTCTATGACTTTTCCTGATAAAATAGTCTATATTTTTAACTTTTTATTGTAAGGATTTTCCCCACAGACATACAAGTAGCAAGAATAGTGTAAAAATCCTTTGTTATGTACTTAAATGTACACAATGTTATATGTTTATAGTATCTTAATTTTTAAAATCCATTTAAAAACTCAATTTTAAAAACTTTTGCTAAATCATATGATGAACTACAATGCAGTCATTAAATTTTTTTCAGTCATTTTACTAAACCCCCCCCATATGCCCATCGTCTAGATTTAACCATGAACTCTGCGCCACGTGCTGCAGACAGAACGTTTGCTCACCCAGTTCACACGAGGAAACCCAAGCCCTCCTGTGGTGCCGTCGGGAGGGGCCTTTGAGCCCCGATCGGGTCTGCAGGGTGGAGCCCTCCTGAAGGAGATTCACGCCCTTAGGAAGGAGACCCCCTGAGGGCTATTGCAGCCCCTCCGCCAGGCGAGGGCACAGTGAGGAGACAGCTGTCTGTGAACCAGGAAGGGGGCTCCCATCCGACACCGAGCCTGCCGCACCTTGGTCATGGGCTCCCAGCCTCGGGAACTGGGAGGCGTAGGTGCTTGCTGTTCTCTGTGAGCCCCGACCCCGTCTGCGGTGTCTGCCGCCACAGCCCAAAGGGACTGAGGCACCGCATTTGCCGCAGCAGCTTTTCCCCTACACCTGTTAGAACAGATCACTCACCCCCAAATGTTTCAGTGTGCATGTTTTAAAACATGAGGACAAACAGGGTGGTGATGGCCAGAGGGAAGGGGGGTGCTGGGTAGGGGTGGGCAGAGGGTGAGGGGAAATGGGACAACTGTGATAGTGTCAACAATAATAATAAAGGAAAAAACGGAGGACATTTTCTCATGCAACTGTGACACCGTTATCACACACGTCAAATGAACAATTCTGAAATATCTTGTAATAGTCCAAATTCGAACTTTCCTGATTATCCCACGATGTCTTCTTGCAGTCAGTGTGTCTGCGTAGGACGCACACCAGGTGCGTGTACTGCATTTGGTCGTTAGGCCTCTGGAGTTGCTTGAATCTCGAGGGCCATTTGGCAGCACGAACCGATGGGTCGCTCTCACCCGCCCGGCCAGCCCGTTCTCTGTCTGGGCCAGTCCCCCTCAGTGTGCCTCAACGCCCTTCCCAGAGGTCCCGGCGACCGGACCAGAGTGACCAGGGCCTGAGGGAACCAGTCTTGGCGTGGAACCAGAAAGCAGATTTCCAAAATTCCAGATATTTGGGGGAAAAGCATGATGTGATTTCTGTCTCCTGACCCCAGACAAGACAGTTCCTTCTGGAGGAGGGAGAAAGAAGTGGGACCACAGTATAGAAGCAGAACTGAGATGGACAGCACCCCACTTGCCCTGGGCCCAGGCAGAGAAGCTCCATTTGCAGCTTGTGCTGTAGAGCTGGGCAGCCACGCTCCTCTGGGGAGACAGCCCCTGGCAGTCTCTTTTTGTCTGTGCAGTGGGAGGGACACCCATTTCCACCGGGATAACCTGGCAGTCAAGGGCCCCCAGCAAGGGGAAGCCCCTTCAGTTGGAGTGGGCCCTGGCTACCTGGAGACTTGGCGATGCTTGGAAGAAAGCCCCTCCCACTCCTACCCTTGCCCTCTGGCCTGGCCAGCATCGTGTGGAGAGGTCATCCCTGCAGCTGGGCTGGGTGCCCTTTCCTACGTCTTCCCAGGGCTGCCTGGTCACAGGCATGCGCCTGTGCTCCCTCTGAGAGTTCAGCCATGTAACTAACTGGGCTTCTCTCCCCCAAATCTGAAACTTGGACTGAAAGAGTATCATTGCTTACATGGGAGTAGGGCGTGCCTGAGCCTGAGCTTTGTCCCCTGGACCGTGTTCCAGCTGAAACTGTGCCCTGGATCCCTGGGGCCAGAGCTGACCATCTTGGTGAACAGAAGGGAGAGAGTGTGAGCCAACACCCAGAAGACAGCTGTGCTCTTGGCCTTGGCCATTCCAAGAGCGCTGGCCGCTGCTCCGTGTGTGTCTGTGTGAAAACTTCCTGAGGAGCACGTTTGCGGGACATTCATCTTCTCTGATGACCCAGTTAGTGCTCTTCGGGCTCTTGTTGTCGCCTTGTTGGCTACGGCGGCAGCGGCACCAGGCAGGCTTTGCTCTCAGAGAGGCTTCCCATGAGACACCCCAAAGTCCTGACTGTACCAGGATGGTGGGAACTTGGGGAAGATGCCGCTCTGCTGGCCTCCACATGTGGCCCGGAGATCTTGGCAGCAGGCAGTCTGGTCTGCATCTGGTCAATTTTATCTGCAAAGCCTTCAGAAAATTTCTCCCCCGAAAGAACATGTTGACCCTCCGAAGGAGGGATTGCAGTGTGGGTCGCTTGTTTAAAGACATTCTCGGTTTTGAGGAGGCTTGTGCAGAGGCCCAAGATCAGCCTCAGAACGCGAGCCAAGCGGGCGGGGAGGGGGCTCTCTGGTGACATTGGCCTCTCCCCTGCCTTCCACTTATGTGTTTACCAATCGGGAAAGCAAAGCCAGCTGTTGGGAGGGATTGCTTCCAGATGACATTATGGGAAAGGAAAACACACTTTATTACAAAGCTGCAGAATAAAAAGCAGACCATGTACGCTCTGTGGACCAGGATTGCATATGGACGATTTCCTGATATTGTGCAATAAGCCAGTTCCTGGGGTAATAATAACAGAGCAAATGTTCCCTGTGCCGGAGTCAGGAGACCAGAGCTGCACTGGACGTGGCAGGACTTGGGGAAAACCGCTCGACCTCGCTGGCCACTATATTCCCTCCCTGCCAAGAACCCTCTCCCCCTCATGGGCACCCCTGGGAGAGCCTCGGGGAACACCTTCTGTGGGCTGAGCGCCTTGAGAGAAACCATGAAACACTGAGGGCATTCTGCTTTTGAAAACAGGATGCGTTTCTGGGCCCCCCCCAGCACAGAAATTTGCTGCGTTGGCTTTCTCAAAGATTCCAGAAGCTCTCTATCGAGGGGGAATTAGAGTGTCCCTTTAATAATTTGGTTTTACAGATCACGGGATAAAGCCTGCTTAGGGTGGTTTGGAAGAGGATTAGGACACTTGCGTCTCTTCCGAGCTGACTTTCCAGGCAGGGTCAGTCAGCAGCTGGAGGCTCCCTCGGCTCGCGGCCAGAGCTCTTCTGTAAGCTGCGAGTTTGTGAGGGCCTAGTGAGCGCTCAGTGACTCTATTATCCAAGAAACAGAAAGTTTGCAGGGAAATAAACATGTAAACGTATAAAAGCAAGGCACACATTGCCAAGTTGGCCTGCAAGAGAGAGTGACAGGGAGACCAGCGTTACCATCCCCCAGAGCAAGGGAAACAGCCGCGTTACTCTCTTAACCCCTGCTGGGGCAGAGGGCGTCAGCAGCTGGAGAACATGCCTTACACTCAGGGAGTCTTAGACGGGCACTGCCGCCACTAGCCACGCGTCCCGTGGGAGACAGTCCGGATAAAGTGGGCATTCACACATTTACTCCACAGACATTTATCAAGTGCCACAGCATGAAGGAAGCATACAAGATCTCTGCCCTCATGGAGTTTGTATTCTAAAAGGAAGGCTAAACAATAGACAATAAAACAGAATGAGTAACTCTTTCTATCAGCTGTGGTCCCAGCAGGAAACAGGTGATGTGCCCCATTGGGTAATGGAGAGGAGTTTGATAGTGGGAGGATCTACCAAGACCTGGGCAGGGAAGCTGACAAGGAATGGTGTGGCCCCCAGAATTACCCACTGTGGGGAACTGCTACCCATGCCTAGGCCTGATGGGGGGAAAGGGGGGTGACTGCCAGAACCCAGTGAGGGGACCTGTGGGGACGGGGCTGTGGCCTCTGCTACAGGGACCTGGCTAGCCCACTGAGGCACACGGATGGGGAAGGAGAACACAGATTTCAACCCCACCCCCTTTCTTCTCAGAGCTGGCCCACACCTGGCACTGGCCAGCCCCCCCCCCCCACCCCCGGAAGCTACTGGCAGGAAGTGCCCTGGGGCACACAGCAGGGTGGAAAAGAGTGGAAGGGGAATTCAGAGGGACAGGTAGAACATCTAGCAAAATCGACAGTCTGTTGGAAGGCAATGGTGCGGAAGGAAGAGGAGAGGTGAGGGGGTGGGTGGCAGGGCAGAGCAGTCGAATTTAACAAATTGCCTGAAGTGCAGGGTCTCCTTCATTTGCTCTGCCACCGTCCTCCTTCTCCTGTTTTCTTAGGACTGACCACGTCCTGTCCTCCAGGTCCTTCTACCACCTCCCAGCGTCTGCCCCTCGCCGGCCCCACCCTCTCTCTCTGGGCCTTGCCACAAGTCCCTCGCCCCGGGCAGCTCTGCTGAGCCTCTGGTGAGTCTCTGTGCTCTGTTTACATTAGGAGAACAAGTGGGATGGTATTTTATTTTAAATCGTACATAGACTTTATCGTTTGGAATAGTTCTAATTTTACAGAAAATTGAGAAAGACAGTTTCCATATACTTCATACTCAGCTTCCCTATTAGCGCGGTACATCCGTTATAATTAACGGACCAATAATGACGTATTATTTACCGAAGTCCATGTTGTTTTCTGATTTTCTCAGGTTTTCCATCAACTGGAGCTGCATCCATCCACTCCCTACTCCGGCTACTTGTTTTTTCAAATCCCTTTCCAGGCTTTCAGAAGCTAACAGAGGACAATCGTAAAACTGAGGTGAGTTTCGAGGGGAGAACACATGGAAGCGCTGGCTACAAAGCCATCCGCGCATCGCAGGTGTCGCCCGAGCCTCCTACCCAGCCCCTCCTTTCTCAGCCCTCCACTCTTTAAAGCTGTCACACAGAGCTCCCCGCCGACCCTTCGCCCAGCTGCCCTAGATGCTGATGTATTACCATGCACAGTTATTCAAGCCAAGACACCCACAGTGACGGGAGACCGTTCACTGCAGACTTCGTGCCGATTTCACCACGTTTCCCACTACCATCATTTTTCTGTTCTAGAGTCCAGTCCAGGACACCACCTTGGATCCACTCGTCACGCCTCCTTAGTCTTCTCCAGCCTCTGACAGTCCCTTAGGAATTCCTCCTCTTCCCTGACCTTGACGCTCCTCAGAAGTGTTGGTCCTGTATTTTGTAGACTGTTGTCCCTCCATCTGAGTTTGGGGCTGACGTTTCCTCATGACTGGACTGGAGTTAGGGATTTGAAGGAAGCAGACCCCGGAGGAGAAGCGCCTTTCTCATGAGGTCAGATAAGGAGGTTCATCTGTGAACATGACCTTACCTTACACGTGATGTTAATCTTTTTTTTATCCTCACCTGGGGACATTTTTTCACTGCGTTTTTTTTTTTTTAGAGAGAGAGAGAGGAAGAAAGAAATACCGATGAGAGACAGAAGCTCTGATTGGTTGCCTCCTGCAACCTAAGTATGTGCCCTGAGCAAGACTTGAACCCACAACCTTTTGGTTACAGGACAATGCTCCAGCCAGGGCAAATGATACGAGTTCGAATCACGTAGTTCAGGTGGCATCTGCCAGGTTTCACTGCTGTGAAGTTGCCAGTCTTTTTCTTCCACACTGTCTGTTGTCAGTGAGTCACTCTGTCCAGCCCACACTCAGTGGATAAGGAATTACACTCCTGCGGAGGAAGGAATATCACAGAATTTGTGGACATACGTTAAAAAAGACGAAACTCCAGTGTAATTAGTTAAGATTTAGGGGTAGATGCACAGATCCTGTTTCTCCTCGATGTTTCTCCCGTAACATCCACACTCCTCAGGGGACTTGCCTGCAGCAGTTGTGACTGCGAGGCTCCAGTGGCGATTCCCTGCTCCTCTCCTCCCTCCTTCGCTTGCGATCTGGAACCTTCTGTCAGGACAGTTCATTGCTTCTGCTTATGTGTTTACGTGTTCAGTCATTTATTTCTATGGACACGGACTCGGGGGTCTTCACTCTTCCTTTGAGTTCTAACCTAACACGGTTGGTATTAATCTTGTTGCAGGTTGCTCTGGTTTGGACATTCGGGAGCCCTTTCGGGTTGCTTCTGTCCTCCGACACGTGCATCCTCTCCGTGTTTCATTTGGTCTGGGCACTACTCTGATGCCGCTATAAAACGCCCCAGGCTCGTCCTGTGTTTTCAACCCAGCTGCCCCCGCCCCAGAATCTGCATTTCGCCCGAGGGCCTCCCGGGGCATTTGAATTCCTCCGCGGATGGCTTTACTTAGGGCCTGCGGCCCTGCCAGGTCGACCCGCACAGAGGTCGGGTCGGGCAGGTGCGCGGTCCCGTTCGGCACTTCGCGGTAAGGTGGGTGACTCGGTGCTTTCTTCCGTACGATGGCGTCCATTGTCCTTCTTACAGGGGTTGTGTGAGAATTAAGGGAGAGGTGACTGAGAAGCAGTTCACGCGCTACTCAGTACACATCTTTTGGTGATGATGAAACCCTGCTTCTTCTGGTGGGGACATGGTGTTGAGGGCGTGGCCTCGAGGCGGACTCCCTGGCTATGTGACCTTAATAAAACCCTGTGCTTCAATTTCTCGTCTGTGAAACGGGGAACGTAACAGTAACTATCTCACAGAGTGTTTGCTCCATTAGATGAGCCAATACACACAAAGCCCTCAGAACAGGGCCCAGCATGGAGCAGCGTTTGTATGCTGTTCGCCATCGTTGTTTTGTGATCATTGCTGTGGTCTGAATGCTGGGTTCCTTCGCTGTTAACCTACTCGTGGTTGGTAGGCCAAGAATTGTGGTGGAAAAATTAAACTATCTAGTTTTTTTTAAATATGAAATTTAAAGGTGATACGTGGTTAACATCATGCAGTTAAAATCCTTCAACAAGTACAGCCAAATCCAAATTCGTAACTACTTCAATCATTGCCCTGTGCTCCTGACATTTTCTCTTCTTGTGCTGATGAACGGCTAAGATAGAATTATTCAGCTCACATTTGTCTTGCACGGAGGCCTGAGGCCCAAGCGGCCAGCAGCTTTGGGGAAACTCTTCGTGAAGCCATTGGACTTGGCCATTAAAGAGTGATAACCCCAGTCCGTAGGTGCTCAGGGACCCATTCCGTAAAAAAAGAAGTGGACCCAACACAGTGACGCAATAATTGGGATGCAGGGGAGACTGCTGGCAGTTTGGAGATGTTTTCTTGGAGAAAATGTCAAATAACTTAGAGTCTGCAGGACACGAATAGATACTTAAGTGGGCAATTTGCTGCTGCAGTGACAGGGCACCCTCTCTGTGTGCACGGAGTCCGGCGCCCGAAGCGGACCCTGCCCTGTCTTCACTGTAGGACACGGTGTCATGGAGACTGCCTCTGTCTCGCTGGAGACCCCAGTGAGTTTTCTTGGCAAAAATGTTGGGCTTTTCTTACTATTATGTTAAAGTGCAGCCAAGTTACACTCACGGAAGTGAGTGGTTACACCACTCACTGTGGTGACGCGAGGGAAGGCGCACCTGGCTCAGGCCAGTCCTCACAGGGCCCCCTTCCCCTTTCTCTGACTGTCCACAGACCCCTGCCTCCCTCAGCCCCTCAGTGCACTTCTGGACACATGCCTAAGTTAGTCACTGCGGGATATTTCCTCAATAACAGACATTTGTGAACAGCCTTCGTGATTTTGCCTTATCCACAAACCAGTGGGGTTATTATTTTAAAAATATATTTAATTTTTATACATTCACTTTTGAAAAACATGAACGCACAAGCTAGCCTCATCCTAGCCAACAATATCCATGGAGCCACCGGCTTTGGTGATGATGAGGCCAGTCGCCCTCAGCCCATGGTGGCCAGGCAGGGTCCTCCCTCTCTGCGAGGAAAAATCCGCCGTACCCTGGCTGGGACAGAAGCAGAATGGACAAGAGCCTGTGGGAGAAAGCAGACCGTCTTCACGGAGGCAGTTTTCTCCCAAATAAGATGGCACTGGCTGTAAGCCCTCCTGATACTAAGGGACACCTATCTTTTCACTATTGACAAATATTAGGGTTCCTGAGGTCTAAGGATGAAAGGCAAGGTGGCCCGGAAAGTGAGGGCGAATGCTGTCAAATGAGGAAGAGTCTGCAGGGTGGAGGCAGGCAGTGGGCGGTCTGGAGGACACTGTGGTAAGTGGCTCACTGTACTGGGAGGCACCCCCTAGAGTAAGGAAGATAGAAGAAGTCTGTCTAGGTAAAGGCTTCATGCTCACAAAGACGCTGAGCTGCAAACATGTGGATCCCACCATTTGCACAACGGGAATAGTTTTCACTGGAGCGTGACATGCAAAGAGTGAAGCAGTGAGAAGTAAGGCCAGAGAGAACTTTGCTCACAACGTAAAGTCGTTTTGACTTTATCCCAGTGACGGTGGGAAGCCCTAAAGGGTTTTAAGCAGGAAGTGATATAAATAGTTGTGTCTTCAGTCATTCTGGTGGTCATGTTCAAGTTGTTAGAAGACAAGGAAAGAGGTAAGTGATGGTAGGACCGTAAGGATGCTACTGCTCAATGCACGGTCCCGATGAGAGAGGAGCTAAATAAGCCAACGCTGTGTATGGAAGTGAAGAGGAGACAGTCAGCTGAGAACACACTTGAGGGCTGACCCAGTGTGGGGGACACGGGAAGAAGAGGAGCTGACTCCTGGGTTTCTAGCACAGATAACAGACATCACAGCCACGGACAGGAGTAAGCAAGGACATACAGTATTTGGGGGAAAGGGGATGCACTCAGCTCTTCACATGATGAGTCTGAGGACATGACAAATCTGTGGGATCCCTTTTGGAGACCTCTTGTCGTTGGACATATTGTGGATGCACTGACCGAGAATTCAGGGTAGAGGCATGGGCTTGAGAAACAGACCTGAGGGTTCCAGTGTCCATGTGGCAACAGAGACTGTGGGCATGGATAACCTCGTCCAGGAAGAGTAGAAGGAAAGCAAGGGTTAGTTTTTACAATACAAGGAAGGAAAGCAGCCCCAGAGGAGACCGAGAGGGCAGGCAGGGAAACAGGAGAGACACGCAGAATCGAGGACAGGATACTTCTGAAAAGGAGGGATGGGTAAGCAGTGTCAGATGGGTCCAGCCAAAGAAAAGGTATTGGCGACTTTCATAGGAGCTTTTTCTGTAGAGAGACGAGGGCAGAAGCTGGACCGTGAACGGGAAATGTGGCTTGGGGTAGGAATGCTCCGCTTTGGTAATGAAGGCAAGGTAAAGGCAGAGAGCAGACTTTACATTAACTTTATCCATGAAGTGGGCAGAGAGCTTGGTTATCTGCAGAGAGATGTGGGGGAGGAGGTAGTAAATCTCATGTCTATTTCATATCCTGGGTCTTCGATAACACTTCCTCACAGGAGGCACATAGTAGGCGCTGTTAGTTCTCACTCTTCCTCCTTCTCTTAGTTTTTCCCTTCATTCCTCACAGATCCAGCACGCCCTCCCAACAATGGGAAAAAGAAAGTAATTTACCTTTGGTCTTAATCAAATTAACCAACTGCCTGTTTGTTTCTCCCTGAAGTTATCTCAGCCACACTGGCTGGAGGGAATTTGGGCCCCTCTTCAGTAACTCCTCAGCATCTTTGCCCAGAACTCTATTCCTTAACAAACCTAAAAACTACAGTTGGGTGACATGCTTGGCAAAACAAATGTAAACTGTATTGGGCAGCAGCTTTAAAACAGAATCGGCAGCTACGTAAATATAGTTTGTGCGCACACCAGGATTCCTCGGCAAACTCAAGTATTCTACGATCCTAAAGGGATTCGGGATATCCTTGACTCATCACAAGCAATATTTCGACTTCAGCAACCATGTCAGTTCCCTTCATTGTTCCTTTTACTTGCTTGAGAAAATTTAGAGTTTTTTGCTACTCAGGTGGAGTCAAGAGTCTTGTTTTTGTTTTTTGGTGGATAAGCTGAAATACAGTATCCTGACGACTTATTCACATAGTTTTAAAAATCAAAACAATGAGGCCAGCGCATATTATGCCTGTAATAAATATTTATGGATAGTCGTGAAGATTAAATAATATTTACCTGGCACTCACTCCTCCTTTTGCAGTAGTAGCTACAAGAGTGTTTCTCACTCTTCTTGTGTTGCTGACACACTGTTGAATAGTTTTGGGTGATGTGGTTAGTTAGTTGGAGGCCCACAGAATGAGTTTTGATGGTCCTGCAGGTGTTTTTCTAGAAGTTTGAATTAGCTGACCACATTTAGAAATCAGGTGACTTCACGTAAAATTCAGATTTCTGGCTTATCTCGAAAGACTGGCAGTAACTTGGCTCTGCAGGTCTGTGACATGTTTCGAGGTGATTCCCCCTTCAAACCACGGTGTTGCAGGCCCAGCCTGTCACCTTTAGACCCCCTGTCTCCACCCTGGTAGTCATTTGAGTTGGAGACCTGACCCTCGCTCTACGTGACAGGTGTTCCAGGTGAACAGCCGATATCAGTGAATATTTGTGCTTGTCTTCCCCTGTGATTGGAAACTCCTCGAGCAGTGGAGTATTACGTGTTTTATATGCTTATGTACCTGTAGCCCTGTGCTATGCCTGGCACGTAGGCATGTGATAAGTTTGGTTAAGAATCTGTGAGGTTTGCCCTGGCCGGTGTGGCTCAGTTGATTGGGCGCCATCCTGCAAAGTGAAAGGTTACAGGTTCTACTCCTGCTTTGGGCACATTCATAAGCCTAGGTTGCAGGCCCTCGGGGCTTGTGGGTCAGATTCAAGAGGTGGCTGGCTGATCGGTGTTTCTCCCTCATTTCCCCTCTCTGTAAAAAAAAAAAAATCACTTGCAAGCATTTGGCTACGGAAGAGGAATGCGAAATGCCCATGACTTGTCTCATGTCCAAAAGTTTAGAAATCCGAGTATAAGATTAGTCCAAGTTGCCTGTGAAGATGTGAGTAAAAGGTAGGCTTGGTGTTGAAGTACATTTCTTGACAGACCATCAGCCCCAAAACACTGATTCCTGGGAACTTCCTTTGAGTCACAATACACATACTGAAGACTCTGAGGAATTCTGTAGAAAAACAGCAACCTGTTTTATTTGGTTTAACTGAATGCTTTCTAATCTTCATCTATCTTTTCACTATTTCCACACAATCTCTAATTTATAACATTTCCTCTTCTCAGATATAATAAATGGCAAGCTATGTTTTAGTGATGGTGAAATACAAATATCCTGCTTAAGACAGTTTTGCAAGAATTTTGTGACAGTCACACAGGTCCCTTGGGTCTCCTTTGGGGTATTGCTCAAACAGTGTTGGGAAATACGACTTTCACTGTGGTCTCCTTGGAAGTCAGGGTGAAGCTAGTCTGTGTGCTGCCCCCCCCCCCCACGCGCAGGCTGGACCATGAATCTGTTAAGAACAAGTTTACATTTGTGTGGCATTTTACAGCTTACATTTATCCCAGGCATTACTACAGTTTCTCCTCATAGCCATTAGAGAAGAGATTGTGATTCTGTATTACAAATGAAGAAATGGTTTCAAAGAGCTTCAGTGACTTATTCCAGGCCTAAAACTGACTGGGGAGGCAAACGCCAGATTTAAATCTTTTTACTCTAGATCCCACCATCGACCTGTAGTCGCAACTGATATCTTTTTTTCCTGGAGCACATCATTTTGCTTTTTCGTCAAATCATAATGTTGGTTCTACATTCTTGAGATTCAGGGTTGTAATCCCCTCCCCCCAATGTAAAATACTGGCTCTACTACTCTCTACTGAAGCCTTGAGGACGGGGCAGGGGGGGGGGGACACGCTAAAGATGTTTCCGGCACCTCGAGGGCCTGGAGAGCATCTGCAGGGTCTTTGCGGGGGTTGCGGCGTGGGGGGGGGGGGTGCTCCCGATCCCTTTGAAGAGGCCCAGGGCTTCTGGGTCTGACCTGGGACTTTTGCTCCTTGCCCTAAATTCTCTCCACTTTCCATTGTGCCTCAGGGCCCCATCTGCGTCCAGATATTTTCTCCCTGGAGTTGCAGTCTTGCCTCTTAGTTTTCCCGCGTCCAAGGAGCCACTGACACGAAAAGCTTAACTTGTGCCTTTAACCCGCTTGGCGGGTGTCCTGGGCTCAGTGTTTGCATATTCTGGGTCCGGAAGCACCGGGACTCAGGCGCCCGCACCCCGGGGAGGCCAGGGGACTTCACCTGCGCGCCGCACGCCTCCGCCTCCCTGCGGGGCGCACTCCGGGGGGAGGGAAGCCACGGGGACTCCCCTCCCCCCGCAAGATAGAGGGGGAGGGGGAGGCGAGCTGGGGAAGGAGAGTGGGGAGGGGGTCGGGGGACGAGTGGAGGACGAGGAGGAAAAGCGGGGGAATCGGGGGCGGGCGGAGGGAAGGGGCTGGGGACCCGGGAGGGGGGCGCCCGGGGGGTGGGGGTCCAGGCCCTGCGGCGGTGCCGCCCGGAGCCCGGCCTGGCCCTCGGAAGTCCCGGGGGCGCGTGGAAGGAGCGTCGCGTGGAAGGAGCGTCGCCGTGGGTTTCCCGCACGGACTCTGCTCCCGAAGCCCGGCGCTCGGCCCCCGCCCCCGCGAGCTCCGGGGACTCAGGGGGCGTTGGCGGCCGGGGAAGTGAGCGGAAGCCTGGACAAACCACGGAAGGAGGGGTCCCTGGCGGAGGGCGCTGCCGCCTCCCGGGCCAGTTCCCGTTTGCTCGGGCCTCATGAACGTGGGTGGGAGCCTGGCGCGCGGCCACGCGGCGCTTTCCGTGGGAAGGATTGGCCTGGGTGCGTCCGGGGCTCCCGCCCGAAGCGCGAGCTGGAGGGGCGGGGGCTTCAGTGCGCCGCACACCCCAGCCCCCAAGCAGCCCCTCCAAGGGGCCGTGGCTCTGCAAGCGGGGTCTTCCTGTCTGTGTGCCCCGTGTCGGGAACTCGAGGACGAAGGGCAGGGTGGAGTTTGTCATTCTTCCAGGTTGAAGTGTTTGCCAGCCGGAGGTGTGGGAGCAGGAAGGAGTAAGTGTCCATGAAGGAGGAAGGCCTTCGTTCCAGTGACCAGCCCTTCCCTCCAGAAACAAAACCAAAAACTCTAGTAAGTGGTGGAGTGAAGCGTTAGGGTTACCAGTAGGCTACGAAACTTGTCCCAATTCATAAGGGCAGTAGGTCCCCAGGGAAGCCACGGTTTCCAGTGTGACCCAAGTGCTATGAATCTCAAATATGGTCCCGAAACTTGGCCTTCGATCCTGTCCTGCTCACAGCGATCTGCTGGGAAGCTTATCACTACGAGTGCCGCGTACTGAGTTTGTTCTCCATTCTTGCCTATCATTCTCTTCCACTCCCAGGTTACCTGTGCACATGCCAGGCGTTAGAGTTGATGTCCTGGTATAGTAGGATTGTGGGTGGGGTTTTTTTCTGCTGTTTAGTAATTTTTAGTCCTTTCCAACTTTTTCATGGTCAGTATGCATTACTCTGTAACTTGGGGAAAGTGCTTTAATTATATATATAACATAGCTGATAAAAATGATCATATTTTGGATATTTAGAGATAGAGAAGAAAATATCCTGAGAATAAAGCAATAGTTTTTCTCTGTCTCCCCTCTCCCCCCACCAGCCAATCTTTTCTGACTTGTGCTAAAATATCAACTCATCTGTTTGAGTGTAAAGACAGTCCCTTTTGTCTTGTCCATTTAGGGGACACTTTGTAGTGTCAAGGTCCCAGGCAGGGAACCAAAACCAGAGAAGGGCTCACATTCTATCCAGAAAGACAAAGCGAGTGGAAAGGTCTTCATGGTGATTTTGGCCAAGCTGTAACAGTCTGGTGAACTTTGACCTTTCCAGTGCAGGCCAGTGCCTCCCACCTCTATTACTAAACACTTCTTTAAAATTTCCAGATTGCTTCAGTTACCTTCCATTTTTAGGACAAGACCTTAATTTGTCTGTATAAATTGGGACAGGACTTTAATTTATCTGTATACAGAGTCATTCACCTAAAAAATATTTAGTAAGTCCCTGTCTACCAAGTGCCGGGCCCCAGGCTGAGGCCAAGAATACTGGCAAGACTTAGTTCTTACCCTTTACGGGGTTTGGGACGTGCATAGACAAACAGTGCTGTGTATAGAATTGTTTCAGGGGCTTTGCTAGGTCCTCAGTAGACAAACAGCAGCCAGAGGGACACGAAGGAGTAGCCAGTTCTAGTGGGTCAAGTGGACAGTGCAAAGGAAGAGGCGGGAAAAACTTCGTAGAAAATTAGTGATCTGGGCTGGTCATGAATTTTTAGCTTTCATGTCCTTCCTGGTGTGAAACTGTTTAAAAAAGATTTTATTATTTATTTTTAGAGAGAAGGGAGGTTGGTTGGGGACCCACAACCCAGACATGTGCCCCGACTGGGAACTGAACCACTGACCTTTCTCCTTGTGGATGACGCCCACCCCACTGAGCCACACCAGTCAGGGCCTGATATAAAACTTTTATTTTTTACTTTTGTGCCCTTTGCTCTAAACAGGTCATTCTCTGACACATTGAGGGGTTGCTTTGTGATTTTTAAACTCATTGATAAGTGCAGTGAGTTCATAATACTTCAAGGACTGGCTAAAATTTTAAAATATATGTCCTTTTATTAGGTATCGTTGATATGATAAAATGCTTTAAAATTTAAACTTTAAACTTTTTGTTTTTACTTAAAGCATATAATTGTGCATTAATTCCCCAGTCCTTAGGTTGGGTTGACTGAGCGGGTACTCTGACTGAAATTGCTCATTGTTTTTCTGACATTTACCCAACTCTTGATATAGTGGGTTTAGGATTTCCCTGAACCTTTGTTTTTCTACAGCAAAGAGAGATTTAAAGAAAGTTGTAAAACAGTATCAGTGTGGAGTTCTTTTAGGGTTTACAATTTCTCCCTCATCTTTTATAGTTTTCTAACTCGCAACTAATTTAACATCAGTTTTTATTATTTATTTTTAAGTGACTTGCCTTTGTGGAGTCTTTTCAAAGCACTTCACTTCATTTGTACATCATTTCTCATGTCTTGTGTTTGTTTGGGTTTTTCCCACGTGCATTTCATTGTTTTATGAGGCAATAAACACATTTTAGAAGAAATACATAATTCTAAGCGTACAATTCAGCCATTCTGTACTGTTTCATTTTAAAAATGGCAGTCAATACCTAGTGAGTTTATTTTTACCCAGAAAATTGATACAAAGACTGAGAGTTTGAAAATACTATGCTGAAGAGTAGCCTCCCCGCGTTCCGTACACTGGCTCCGTGTTCCGTACACTGGCTCCGTGGGGGTTAGAGCGACAGGGAGTGAAGATTAATCTCGTGAGTTGGCTAAGCTGGTTAAGCAGTGTGTCTGGTAAAAGGGCTTGTAACTGTAGCGAAATTTCGTTGGATTAAATTCTGGGTCAACCACCAGGGTTTGGAAACCTTGTACTCAAGTTTTGGCTGTTGTGGTTTGAATTTTAAAGAAACCTGGCCTGGATTCCAAACTCCCAAGCTTAGAATTGGTGCTGATGGCCCACAGAGTTCATGTTACAGATTTAACCAACCATAACTGAGCATTTTAAGGCCATTTGATTATATCCGTCTTTATGGATAGGACAAGGAGATTAATTGACAGAAATGTCTCAGCTAATCTAAGGAAACATTTCCCCCAGTTTATAACAATGTCTGAGGCTTCTAAGAACCTCCACTAAGTCCTGCATCCTTTTTAGGGACACGGACCTGAACATCACTGGATGGAGCCAAGAAAGGACGGTGAAAAGCAAGGATACTTGTTTAAGTTGAAATCAAGACCTTCCTCTTGGTGGAGGCACCGAGATACACTGGGTGTGTGGCTGTGTTGTCAGAGAGCTTCGTAAGGGCAGGAGGGTATTTTTGTGGGCTGACAGCTTTATTCACTCTGATCCATAGGATGAGCTCTCAGAAGTTTACCACTTTTCAAAATGCCTATTGTCCAGGGAAGATGGACCAGTGAAAGGATGGACTGTCCGTGGCAAAATATCTGGGAATCCCAACCTGCGACTCCAGCACCTCTGTCCCCCTTGTAATGAGGGTGCACCGTATGACATCCGTCATCTTTGAGGGTGTTGAACCTGGAGCCTGAGAAGTAGGTTTGGTGTGGAGACTGTTGGGAAGCGGAGTTGGCGGGGGATGTGCACTAGGGACACCTCCTGGCTTCACTCGCTGTTTTTGTGACTCTCCTAAGATGGAGCTCGCTCTGTAGTTGTAGAGGAGACACCATGATGGCAGAGAGTGAAGTCAACTGATTCTGCAAACAGGCCTAATGAGGGGTCATCACAGTTCTGTCGTCCCAAAAACTCACATTGTCAATGCAGGCCCCGCGGCCAGGCTCTCAGGAACTGAGTCATGCTAGCCACACTCCCTGAAGACTCTTAAAAGAACAGAATGTCCATTCACAGTGGGAGCATTCATCTCCAGTGACCGAAAGACTCATGGACATGCTCTCCAGGCCCTTTCCTGCTAAATCCTGTCCCAGACAGAGGGGACAGCCAATAGAGAGTCCCCGATCGTACACTGAGCACACCTGGCAGGTTAACAAAACAGGAAAGCAGTGAGGCTGGAGTGGAGTGGAGTGAGGGAGGCGGTGTCAGGGGCTGAGGTCAGAAAGGTTACCGGGAGCCAGATCACAGGTCATGCCCTCCACATGCCCTCATAGGTCATTGGCTTTTACTCGGGAGATGGGGAGCCATTGGAAGGTTCTGGGCAGAGACGTGACCTGACTTTTATTTGTAAAATATCACTCAGGCTGCTGTAGTGGGGACAGGAGACCAGTCAGAAGGTGACCCCAGTAATCCAGGTGAAATGCCGGTGGGTAGCAGGGGGGTGGTAGCAGCAGGGATGGTGAGAGGTGGTTGGTGCAGAGTTTATTTTGAAGGCAGACCCAACAATTTTCTGGTAGATTGGATGTGGAGTGCTGGGGAAGAGAGATGTCAAGGAGGACTCTGATCGGGGTAAATCTTGGAATTCTTGCTTGAAAAGCTGAGCAGAAACACCCCTGAGATAAGAAAGCACGTAGCCAGCCCACTGCTGGCAGTGATCTCATGCCCTGAGGAGGGTGAACCTGAGGGTGGAGCCAGCAACCAGTCGGGCAGGGCAGAAGGGCAGGCAGGAATTCTCCGGAGGGCAGGGCGGAGCCACTGGGTCCACACGCCGACCTGACCCAACTCTGCACTTCTAATCGCAAGAGCCAGTGAGTCCCCTTTGTTACTTTGATACTTGGATCCGAAACCTGCTCACTGCTGCTCTTAACAAGACTCAAGATGCAAACTAAAAGGACAGCTAGATCAGGAGTGGAAACATAGAAATGAAGATCTCAAGGAGGGTTAGCAACAGGGGAGTGGGAGGAGGAGAAGGGGGGAGAAGGTACAGAAAATAAGTAGCATAGACAGTAGATAGAAAATAGATGGGGGGGCAAGAATAGCATGGGAAATATAGAATCTAAAGGACTTGAGACACATGGTCATAAACTAAAGGGGGGGGTAATGGTGGGGATGGGGGGCAGGGTGGAGGGGGATGAAAGGGGGAATAGAACAACTGTAACAGCATAATCAATAAAAAAAATTAAAAAAAAAAGACTCAAGATGTGTCTTAGATGCACTATTAGCTTAAAGAAGCTTTTCACAGTTCCATCAGAGCTAGTCTCCAGACTTCAGGGACGATTTTGCCAAAATACTGTTCTTTCTCATGCTTCTCTCACCTCATTGGTCTCTTGGCAAATTGTAAGCCCCTAGAGTACTGTGTTGGGAGCAGGGCCAGACAGACTGAGCATGACAGAAAGCCAGAAATTACTGGCACACAGCATCCCTGGTGGCGGTGGTGGTGGCAGTAGAGGTGGTAGTGGTAGTATCACCTACAGTTTACAAATTTGAGAGCAGAGATTAAAGGACTCAGGACCAGAAGTCTTTTTTTTCAAATCTAAGATTGGTTCATCTGATTAACCAATGACAATCCATGCAGCACACAAAAGAGAGTAGAACTTTTCCGGAGGACATCTCTGGCTGACTGCTTTTCCAATCGGCCATATATTGGTACAAACACCACAGATCTGATCCTCGGCTTTACAGATTCAATAACTTCTGGGCCTCTTCACTCAGAGCAATTAAGCTGGAAAGGATCGATTCATCATAGGCAAACTTCCATGAAACTGATGTATAAACTAGGTTGCTAGATTATTTAGAATAGGACCTCTTTCTTAAAATTAAAAACTTGTAGACTCTTGACTACATCCCAGTTTGAGAAACATTAAATTCACACATTATGAGACTTTAAAAACAGTCATACATGCAAACCCATGCATCGCTATTACATGGCATCACTCCGTAAAAAACGGTGCTGATCCCAGTAAGGCCTGTGTTCAAACTTTTACGTATCTTTAAAACGAAAAGACGAAATTTAAAATTATTCTAAAGAATTTATGGACTTCCGCGAATATGATGATTAAAGACTCCAAGCTGGAAAATGATGTAATAGGAGAAAGGCTTTGTTTGAGAACTGCAGGACGCCCTGAAGCAAGTCCACTCAGGAAACTGGACGGCAGAGCAGAGGCAGATTGAAAGAGAGGGGGTGGGCCGTTCTCAAGGAGCACAGCCCTCGGACCAGGGGAGCTAGTTATCCTGCATGCATGGTCTTCTGTGTAGGACCCCACCAGTCGTGGAAAACAGAGCCTTGGCTTCCTGCATTTTGATAGAGAAGCACAAATTATTAGTCACTGATTTCCCTTTTCCTAGACTGCATCTCGAATCCATGCATCCTCCTGGCCAGTGCTTCACTTCCAGGGAAAGAGGAATTGTGCAATCCCGACAAGAGAGGGACTTGGACCAGACTGCTGGGACTCCAGAGCCCTTGTTCTTTCATTTAGCACATTGCTAGTGACCTTCAATAGGCTAAAATTATGAGGGACCCATATACTATAGAGGGTGGTAAAAACAACTTTTTAATCTTTCCCAGTTTTGTTTACATTAGACTCTGAGAATCAATCATTCTCCTCAGATGACCTCCCAGCGTTCTCTGCCTCCTCCTAGTTCACGTCTTGACCAACCCTCCCCTCTCCCACTTCCAGCCTAAACTGAGTTTGTGCTAGGAACTAGGGAGCACCCACCGCCCATAGCCACGTACTCCCTTCTGGCTCCGGAACCAGATTGGATCAGGGCCAGACTCAGCGCTGGGCTGCCTCCCAGCTGCTGAGAGAGCGCATCCTGTTCCCAGGCAGCGATTCCAGGCGCAGCATTCAATTGCCAATACTTCCCTGGCTTTGTCAAAGCCAGGCAAGGGTATGTAATCCCTTAGGCCACTTGGCAAATGCCTGCTTGTTCTTTAGTATGGTCAGAACGAAGGGAGGGGGACGCCTGGCCAATTTAGCAATGAGAGGGCTCCCGGGGGGCCTGCCTGGAACTGCAGGGACCCTAGTCGCCAGCAGGCGATGGTCATCTGCCACCTCCACTGGGTGCTGATGCTTTCACCTGTGCCTCTAGCCAGGCCGGACCACGGCTGTGGCCTTTATGTACCTGACCATTTCTTACCCACATGTGCTGCTTCTCCTCTTGCTGCAGCCTGGAATGCTGGTCCCCTTTAGCTCTTCCTCATGAAATCTGCTTCACCCTTTCAAAGCCACAGCTGAAATGAGCCCTCCAGAAAGCCCCCTCTGATCCACGCCCAGAAAGGACCTCCCTGTTTTTGTCTGCCATGCCCATTTTCCTGGACCTATCTTAAAACACAGATGACTCTCTGGCATCTAGTGTAGCTACTGAGCAGCATTTTGTATCTATTGTGTCAGGAAATGGGGTAAGACAGGAGGGCGTGTCTGACCGCCTTTGTTTTTCCACGCAGTTCTGCACATTGCAGGTGTTTAAATTTGTTGAGTGAATAATAAACCAAGAGCACTGTACATGCACACAAATTACCGGAGACTGGATCCTTTGCAAGTGTCTCTTCTGAAACCGCCCCTAAGCAGAGCTTTCTTGGGATCCCTCTGATTCCTGTCCCTCTCCCCCCAGATCAGGTGGCCTACTGCAGGGGGAGTGGAGCCCCCAGGTCCTTGACCCCGCACTAGGTCGGTGTGCCTCACTGATCTGTCAGTGAGACCTTTTGAAGCCCTGCGTCTCAGACAGGCAGCACCTAACCCAAAGACTTAGAAGAGGCACTGGATACAAATGCGTGTTTCCAGACACAAGATGCTCCCACCGTGCTGAGGCACAGGCTAGGTGTGTTGAGGGGGTGAGAGAGGGAGAGAAGTGGATGTTGTGGAAGCTGGAAAGCAGGGACGCGCTTCACCTTCTGTTAATGACATGTGTAACCTTGGGCCATGAGCACTGGCTGGGCAGGCAGGGTCCCTGGGCTGTGGTGCTGGTGCTGTCGCTGCCCTTGAACCTCGGAGTGTTGCTTCACCTTGTCACAGTTCACTCCTTGACACGATGGGGCTGGGGGGGGGGGTGGTTGAGGTTATAGTGAAAGACAGGTTTGCTCTGTGGATGTGGAAGGTCATGAGTGGAGCCTCAAAGTCGGATAGGTCAAAGGGAAAATGTTCATATGCTGAGCCTTCCTGTGGCAGAAAACATCCATTTTCTTCCTGTGCTTTAACAGTTTATATTGTGGGTTCTACACCAAGCCTAGGAATTGAGTGTTTGGCAAAGGATGGAGAAAATAAACAGGTGCATTCAACAGCACCCTGACACTGTGGCCAATGGTCTGAAGTACTTTTGCTTGAAGCAGGAAGTGTTCCTTGTCAGGTCAAGTCACAGCGAAGCCATGCTTTTTGCTTTTGGTAAAAAATATTTGTCATTTAAGTTCTTTGCTATTTCTCCCTGAAAGGGCTCACGACACATTGGCAGACGTGCCCAGGGAGCATGGTACGTTATGTAAATGTCTGGCATTGTTTAATTTCTTATCTTTACTTTTAGTACTTGTTTTTTAAAAAATCATTTGTTGGTTATATGTTTTCTGTGCAAGTAGAATTGCTTAACAGAAGAAAAGGAAATAGAGCAACTGTTACTAAATGACCCCAAAGCAGAAGTTGGGCTCCTTTCACATGAATATTCAACAGTGCCTCAGCCACACCCTCTGGTCTTGACAGTCAGAACCGGAAAAGGCCTGTGCTGTGTGGAGCAACGTGGGAAGTGAAGGGATGTGAGCTGCCGGAGGAGGGCGGGCAGGAGGTAGACACCTGGAGGTGGCGGCACGGGGATGAATCTGTGGAGAGAGCCACTCAGGAGCCACGAACTCCACTCACAAGCCCAGCTATAACCATGTAACGCAGACGCAGGTCATGGGCTTGCTGATTTCCCGGACGAGCATCCTGCTTCGCAACTGTGAGAGCTCCCCACAGGAGCGGTCTCTAAACCCGTTCTCTTCCAGACCAAGCCCCTGAGCAGTAAGATCATTTTCTACATTTGGGAGCCATTTGGAATCTGAAAGTCTTGAGAATAAGCATATTACAATAGCTTACAATCTGGAACAGAAGTTACAGTTTTAGCAACATGCACTTTAACATGAATTGGTATCCTTTGTTGGACAGATACCAGACTTATCTAACACGTAACTCCCAACCTCTTTTCCCCCCATAAATGCCAGGAGTGTAGTACAGCACCAAGTGGGAAATAAAGGCAGCTTGGTGAGCGGTAAGACAGCTGATTGTTTCTCTGATAAAGGGGATTTT